CATTTTACAAAGGCTTTATAAATAATTGACATTCTAAATGAAGTGTCATTACATATTAACGTTATGGCTCTTTTAAAAAACAAATTATGAATCTATGTTATTGCAGAAAAAATTATAACAATAGCAAGGTTCTTTATTTTGCACTTAGTGCAATTTCATCTGCGCAATAATTTTTCTATAAAAATAATAATAAAACACCATTTCGTCATTGTCTGCCATAGTAGGGTTAGATTTTTCTGGTAGAATAGGAGGGTTAGACTTTGGAAAGAAGGGGTGTGCATTGACATCGTGTCTAAGTCATCTCACCAACCCTTTAATTTCCACTTCATGCACGGATGCACCTCGCCTACCCCCCACCTCACCCGCTCTATATCCACGCGTCAATAATATAAAACAACTTTTATTATATAATTTTTTCACATTATTTTATGCCGCATTTAATAATTATTTTATTTTATTTTATTAGAATTTATAATATTATATATATTAAAAAAATAAATATCAACCTTAAATTTTAAAATAAATTAAAATTAAAATTTTAAATTATATCAATTTATTTAATTAAAATTTAATTTAAATTTTAAAATTTTATTTTATTAAAATTAATATTTAAATTGAAAAGGGATTATATTAGAATAGAATTTATTTTTAAATTTAAATATTAATATTTAACAAAATAAATTTTTAAATTTTAAATTAAAATTTTAATTTTAAAATATAAATTAAGATTTTATTTTTTATATTAAATAAATTTCTTTAATATAAAATATAAAGAATACAAAGATATTAATGAAAGAAAACAAAATCACGTAACATCTTTCACTTATATAGTTGTCGTAATCATATTTTTCGTTGAGAAGTAAGTGAGGGCACTTCATGATATGCAAGTCAAATCTCAAATTTGATATTTTTTTATTTTTTTTATTATAGATATTAATACTATTAATGTAATTTTTACTTAAAAAAATAAAACGTAACATAACAGTCACTAATTTCATTTAATATCTGACAATTTCTTCTAATTAGTCTAATATCTTAATAAATGGGATCTAGAAAATCTTAAAACCCGACCCTACCATATCGTCGCCATTTCCTCAACACCCCCTCCAATCACCATAGAG